ATCTTAAATAAAAACCCAAAACATGGAGACAGATATACAGGAAGTTGATTGATCTGATATTTCAATCCCCTTCTGGGATCCTCTTTATCTGCTGAAGTTCAATTAATCTTCTGACTTTATCTCTATGTGGGCTATTATTGAGCACTGACAAATGTTTATTACACTTAGTTATTCATATCTATAAATGTTCCAACTGTTCACTGTGGTATATTGGTAGCTCATCATAAAACTTCCAAATCAAGATGTGCGAGCTTAGAGGTGGTTCTCGCAGAACTGGTGTTCCTTTGACTGTCAGCCATTGTGCTGTACTTATTAACAAAACAAGAGACAATTTCTGGCAAACTACAGTGCATAGATTATTCCTTTATCAAGGTGACATGAATCTGCTTCACACTACTCACTACTGTACATGAATGCACAAATACAGTATTTACCTTGTGGACATCTAAAGGAATTTCAGAATAAATCTTCGTGGATACTACACCTTCCTAATATTGTTTAGTTTTGCTTTGAAAACGTTTTGGAAAAACTAGGTAATGTTATTACAGGCATAGTACTATACTAGCAGTGCATTTTTACCGAGTACAATACAGGGTGACACAAAAGTCGAGACACACAGGACGCATTACTGATATTCTGTTTTCCCACGTGTTCATGTGAATCTTGCAAAGCTTGTTGAACTTTGCATCACTAATGGTGGACAACATGTTAAGATATTATTCATTAAAATTATTGTATAATCACAACAAAAATGCAATTTTGCCAATATGTCCAAACTCTTGGGTCACCCTGTGCAGTAGTACATACAAGTCTGTATAGCGGATATCAAAGGTAATGTCATTACAGTCAAATGACTGTACTAACAGGCATTTTTACTGACTACAATGTAGTCGTACATACAAACCTGTATTAGCAGACAACTGTGCAACTACTGTATTTTACTGATGGGTGGCCAGCAAACAGATTCAATTACCCACTGTGTTTACGGCTAGAGGGCTTCCGTATAGCCAAATCTATTTTGAGTTTGGCCATGATTTCTTATGATATCAATATTAATCAAATCTGAAGGATATATTAAAGAGAGAGTTTCTCAAACACAAAATGAACTCAAATCTGCAACCAAATTTGTTATCCAGACTTAATTTTTGCAGGCTTCTAGCTTTGTTGGACTTCAAGAACTATAACTATCATGAATTTGAAGTAACGACTGCTTATGGTGCTTGGCGAGTGTCTCTAATGGCTTCGTATTTTCTTTTTTTTCTTTTTGAAACTACATTTTTTATTACACAAAAATCTTAATACAAACTAAAAAAAACACCTAAAATGTTATTTTGGTTTATAAGAGATTTGCAAAATACAGATTAATATGACAGATTCTTTTATGATCTTGTAGACAGAAACCTCGTACCTCTCTGAGAGTTGCTATGACTGTTGGACAGTTAGCAACTTTTCAATCAATCGTTCCCTTTATCAGAGTACACAGAATCCAAACCAAGAACAGGTGGGATCTGAACCCACGGCCAGCGAGTCCTAAAACTCCCGGCCAGTGCATTTACAGTTGTGTTATCACAATTTCACGAGTCACGATGGGTTCGTAGAATCCAATTTTAATATCTCCTTCAGTATTCTAACTGCCTCACCCTGGCTGCCTTCATGTTCTCAAAGCCCCATTTTCAATGCTCTCAAAGATAATTATTTAATTGAGATATAGTATTTCAGCAATTCTGACTGTTCTCATCAGCAAGTGACCCATCCTACACATTTTTCCCTAACATCAGCACCCATATGCCTTGTAGCGTTAGTATGACCCATAGGGGTTAAGTGCATTTTTTGTGAACATAATTATATGAACTCGTGTGCAAGTTATGATAGTTACTATGGAAAACACTATTTGTATATTGGCCTCACTAGGGACTAGTACTAGATGTCTGCAACAAAGACAACCAACTCTACAGACACTAAATGAAAATGAATGTTGCAGACATGGAGGAGCAACTCTGTACATCCTCAGTAAAGATTATCATCACCTTGCAGACTTGAATCTCATAGCAAACACCAATAAATACTGTATATACTTCACTTCCTTAAATATATTTACCTTTAAGAAGCATCAACGAAAACTTCAAGGAAGTTCACATTTATGATTAGACTTGAAATCTGAATCTTTTTCCATCTTCAGTTTCTTTCAACATGAGAAAAATTGAAACTGTGCAAGGAATAACCACAGGAGAAGCTGCATAATGTTTCACTCATCCTGACTCGGTTCATTATATTTTCACAATTTTTTTTTTTCCCCACAAGCTTTGTCAAAGTATAAATTATTTTCACCTGAGCAGTACACTACCATGGTACTGCTTCATCATTTACATGACACTTTATGATTGTGGAGCTATATAATGTCTGGTAATTAAGTGGATAAATGGTTGTGGTCATAGCCACACCCTTGGTTAGGAGAACCTACACAATGCTTCTATGGCCACCACCCTTGTTAGGAGAACCTACACAATGCTTTTGGCCACACCCTTGGTTGAGGACCTACACAATGCTTGTATGGCCACACCCTTGGTTTAGGACCTACACATGCTTCTATGGCCACACCTTGGTTAGAACCTACACAATGCTTGTATGGCCACACCCTTGGTTAGGAGACTACACAATGTTGTATGGCCACACCCTTAGGTTAGGAGAGACCTACACAATGCTTTATGGCAACACCCTTGGTTAGAACCTACACAATGCTTGTATAGCCACACCCTTGGTAGGGTAACCTACACAATGCTTCTATGGCCACACCTTGGTTAGAACCTACACAATGCTTGTATGGCCACACCCTTGGTTAGGAGACCTACCACAATGCTTGTATGGCCACACCCTAGGTTAGGAGGACCTACACAATGCTTGTATGGCCACACCCTTGGTTAGGAGGACCTACACAATGCTTGTATGGCCACACCCTTGGTTAGGACCTACACAATGCTTGTATGGCCACACCTTGGTTAGGAGGACCTCAATTCTTGTATGGGCTTCAGCCTGACAAAGGTATCACACATTTCTTCAAGTTCCTAAAAAATACAGTTCTTTTTAAGGAAAGTTTACAAAGGACAAGATATTAATGGACCACAGTTGCAATTGGGAGTGACCTCACATGCTACACCAATTGCATGACCAAACTGCACCCAATGTAAATAAAAGAAATTAATGCTAAAATACATATTTCAAGTATGCAGCATTATCAAAATCCTGACTTTGTATAGGTCACATTTTAAAGATTGGCAAGGTCGACAAGGAGAAGAATACAAATAGATCAGAAAAATATAGAATGATGTCTAGTATATTACCTGATGAATGGTGCAGCAGCTTAGATATTAAGGGAAAGTTACGAAAGGTTAGCGGTGGTACAGATCGATGTCAAATGAGACAGAGGCAGAAAATGATGGGTCAAACTGGCAGGGTTGTGCCTCCAGCATAGTTCTGACAATGGGTAGCACCACTGACAGCAGCATCATTGGGGTAAGCCATATACCTGTTGATATACAAGAAAACATATGAGTGCGCAGGTTGTTTCCAGGCAATCTGTAGCGCTCGGATAGCAAGATTACATTACAGCTGGCAGCTCCCATGGCCCACGGTGTGTATCAGACAACGGCAGGAAATTAAACCCCAGAGATCTTGGCCTCCCAGTGTTGCACCGCAAGTTGACATCTCAGAATGTCATCTGTCCGCTTATGTATGGAGTCAACACACCCTCCTCGCATGAGTATTGGCAGCATGGCTTAGATCCACTCAAGGTAGTGACTGGAAGGTAGCTGAGTGGTACATCGATGCACCTTGAGTAAAGATTGATAGTATTTGGGTTAAATTAAAATTTAACGGATCAGTTTTCATTTTTTATAATTTTAAAAGGGGGGCATTCAATAAACCCTTTTCAAAGAATTCTCCAGTAATCTGGAAACCTGTAGAGAAGGAAAAAAAAGAAGAAAAAGGGAATAAAATTTTGACCCAATGGACGACACATTTCCCTTTTTTTGACGGGGGAAAAAGGCAAAGAAAAAATGCAAAATACAATGGGGTTTTTTAACTGGGGGGGGGCCAAAACTTTTCCTACCCCGGGTTTGGGCCAAAAACTCTCCTACCCCTGGGGGCCAAGGGCTCCTCCTTTCCCCGGGTGGCCCAAGGGCCTTTTCCCCAAAACCCCGGGTTTGGGCCAAAACTCTCCTCCCTGGGTGGGCCCAAAATCCCCCAAACCCCGGGGGGCCCAAGGGTCCCTAACCCCCGGGTGGGGCCCAAGGGCTCCCTACCCTGGGTGGCCAAGACCTCCTACCCCTGGGTGGCCAAGGAAACCCCACCCTGGGGGGGCCAAGCCCCTCCTACCCAGGGGGGCCCAAGGAAATCCCCTACCCTTTGGGGGGCCAAGAACCTTCCCCCTACCCTGGGTTTGGCCCAAAAACTCTCCTAAACCCTGGGTGGCCAAGAATTTTCCAACCCCGGGGGGGGCCCCAAAACCCCCCTCCTACCCTGGGTGGCCCAAAACCTTCCCACCCTGGGTGGCCAAAAACTCTCCAACCCTGGTGGCAAAAAAACTCTCCCCACCCTGGGTGGCCAAAAAACTCTCCTACCCGGGTGGCCAAAAACTCCTACCCCCGGGTGGCCAAGGGCTCTCCTACCTGGGGCCAAGACTCTCCTACCCTGGGTGGCCAAGACTCTCCTACCCTGGGGTGGCCAGACTCTCCTTTCCCCGGTTGGGGCCAAAACTTCCTTTCCTGGGGTTGGGCCCAAGGGCTCTCCTACCCGGGGTGGCCAAAACTTCCCCACCCCGGGTGGCCCCAAAACTCTCCTACCCCTGGGTGGCCAAGACTCCCCCTACCCTGGGTGGCCAAAACCCCCCTACCCCCCCTTTGGCCCCGACTTTTCCTACCCTGGGTGGGCCAAAACTCCCTTTTCCCTGGGTGGCCAAGCCTCCTAACCCCTGGGTGGCCCAAGGGCTTTTCCTACCCTGGGTGGCCAAAAAACCCCCTACCCTGGGTGGCCAAGCTCTCCTACCCCGGGTGGGCCAAAAACTCCCTACCCTGGGTGGGGGCAAAACTCCCCAAAACCCCGGGTGGCAAAAAAGGGCTCTCCTACCCCTTGGGTGGCCCAAAACTCCCTACCCTGGGTGGGCCAAAACTCCCTACCCTGGGTGGCCAAAACTCCCTAACCGGGGGCCAGGGCTTCCCCACCCCGGGTGGGCCCCAAGGCTTCCTACCCTGGGTGGCCAAGACTTCCCTACCCCGGATGGGCCCAAAACTCTCCTACCCTGGATGGCCAAGACTCCCTTTCCCTGGGGGGCCCCAAGACTCTCCTACCCTGGTGGCCCAAAAGTCTCCTCCCCCGGGTTGGGGCCAAAGGGCTCCCTACCCCGGGTGGGGCCCAAAACTCTCCCCACCCTGGGTGGCCCCAAAACTCTCCTTTCCCCTGGGTGGGCCCGACTCTCCTACCCTGGGTGGCCAAAACTCTCCTACCCTGGATGGGCCCAAAACTCTCCTACCCCGGATGGCCAAGACTTCCCTACCCTGGGTGGCCAAAAACTTCCCTACCCTGGGGGGGCCAAGGGCTTTCCCCAACCCCGGGTGGGCCCAAAACTCCCCACCCTGGGTTTGGGCCAAAAACTCCCTAACCGGGGTGGGGCCCAAGGGGCCTCCTACCCTGGGTGGCCAAAACTCTCCCTACCCTTGGGGGGCCAAGGGCTCTCTTAAACCCTGGGTGGCCCCGCCCCAACCCCCGGGTGGCCAAGACATCCCACCCTGGGTGGGGCCCAAAATTTCCCCACCCTGGGGGGGCCAAGACTCTCCCACCCTGGGGGGCCAAGACTCCCCCACCCTGGGTGGCCCAAGACTTCTTTCCTACCCGGGGGGGCCAAGACTCTCCTACCCTGGGTGGGCCCCAAAACTTCCTACCCTGGGGTGGGGCCCAAAAACCTCCTACCCTGGGGTTGGGGCCAAGGGCTCTCCTACCCCGGGTGGGCAAAAATCTCAACCCCCGGGGGGCCAAGGGCTCCCTCCCCCGGGTGGGCCCAAAAACTCCCTACCCTGGGTGGCCAAAAACCCCCTACCCCGGGTGGCCAAAGGGCTTCCCCTTTTCCCTGGGTGGGCCAAAACTCCCTACCCTGGGTGGACAAGACCCCTACCCTGGGTGGCCAAGAATCCCTACCCCTGGGTGGCCCAAGGCTCCCTTTCCCTGGGTGGGGCCCAAAACTCCCCCAACCCCGGGTGGCCAAGGGGCTCCATAACCCCGGGTGGGGGCCCAAGAACCCCTCCTACCCTGGGTGGGGCCAAAATCTCCTACCCTGGGTGGAAGACTCCCTAAACCCTGGGGGGCCAAAAACTCCCCCTGGGTGGCCAAGGACCCCCTACCCTGGGTGGCCAAGGGCTCTCCTACCCTGGGTGGCCAAACTCCCTACCCTGGGTGGCCAAGACCCCTCCTACCCTGGGTGGCCAAAAAAGACTCCCTACCCCGGGTGGGCCAAAACTCTTACCTGGGTGGGCCAAAAACTCTCCAACCCTGGGTGGCCCCAAAACTCCCTTTCCCTGGGGGGGCCAAGACTCTCCTACCCTGGGGGGCCAAGACTCCCTACCCTGGGGGCCAAGGGCTTCCTTTCCCCGGGGGGCCAAAACCCCCTACCCTGGGGGGGCCCAAGGGGCTTCCTACCCTGGGTGGCCAAGACTCTCCTACCCTGGGTGGGCCAAAAAAATCTCCCACCCTGGGGGCCAAAAAACCCCTCCTACCCTGGGTGGCCCCAAAACTCTCCTAAACCCCGGGGGCCAAAACTCCCTAACCCGGGTGGGCCAGACTCTCTACCCTGGGGGGGGCCAAGACTCCTTACCCTGGGTGGCCAAAAACTCTCCTACCCTGGTGGGCCCAAGGGCTTCCTACCCTGGGTGGGGCCCGGAAATCTCCTACCCTGGGGGGCCAAAAAAACCTCCTTAAACCCTGGGTGGCCAAAAAACTCTCCTTCCCCCGGGGGGCCCAAGAATCCCTCCTGGGGCAAGCCCCTCCAAACCCCGGGGTGGCCAAAAGAACTCCCCACCCTGGGTGGGCCAAGGGCCCCCTTTCCCACCCCGGGTGGCCAAGACTCCCTAAACCCCGGGTGGCCCCAAAACTCTCTTTCCCTGGGTGGCCAAGAAACCCCTACCCTGGGTGGCCAAGACTCTTTCCCACCCCGGGGTGGGCCCAAAACTCTCCTACCCTGGATGGGCCAAAAACTCCTCCCCGGGGGGGCCAAACTCTTTCCCACCCCGGATGGGCCAAAACTCTCCCAACCCCCGGGTGGCCAGGGCTCCCTTTCCCCGGGGTGGCCAAGATTCCCACCCTGGGGGGCCCCAAAACTCTCCTAACCCCCGGGGGCCAAGGGCCCCCTACCCTTTGGGGGGCCAAGACTCCCTACCCTGGATGGCCCAAAACCTCCTACCCCCGGATGGCCAAGACTCCCCACCCCGGGGGCCAAGACTCTCCACCCTGGGTGGCCAAGATCCCCACCCCGGGGGGCCAAGATCCCCACCCTGGGTGGCCAAGCCTCCCTACCCTTTGGGGGGCCCCAAAATCCCCCTAAACCCCGGGTGGCCAAGACTCTCCAAACCCCGGGTGGCCAAAAAACTCTCCTACCCTGGGTGGCCAAGAAAATCCCTACCCCGGGTGGCCCAAAACCCCCTAAAAACCCCGGGTGGCCAAAACTCCCTACCCTGGGTTTGGGCCCAAAACTCTCCTACCCTTTGGGGGGCCAAGACTTTCCCCAACCCCGGGTGGGGCCCAAGGGCTCTCCTACCGGGGGGTGGCCAAAAAAAACCCTTTCCCCCCTGGGTGGCCCCCAAAACTCTTTTCCCACCCGGGTGGGCCCAAAACTCTCCTACCCCCGGGGGGCCAAAAACTTTTCCTACCCTGGGGGGGGCCCAAAACTCCCTACCCCCGGGTGGCCAAGACTCTCCCACCCTGGGTGGGCCCCCAAAAAAACTCCCTACCCTTTGGGGG